GCCAGCTCATTTGATAACTTTGTGCTGAGGAAGGGTTAGGTTTTAGTCTGGATAAAGCAAGAAAAAGATTTTGAAGTTCACTAAGTAAATTCTGAAACTATCCCAAAGCAATAATAAAATATTCATTTCATGTATAAAGTTCTTGGTTATTATCTAGGATTGCCATTTTTAAGCCTTTATGAAACTAGGTAACAGGTATGGAATAAACAATTTTCTGACTTCTAACATAAATTGTACATAAAGTTTCTAAATCTATGTATGATAACAGTTTTATATTGCTGATTCTGTTTTTTTAAAAGCTCTGGCATTATGTGAAAAAAAGAATCTGATGTAGAAATGTAATTTTGCCTTGTGCCTAAGTGATTTGAAGAATCTTCTTTCAAACTCGCATTCACCACTTGAATTTATGAGACAGCTATGACAGATGTGCATAATTCTGAGTTACTTGAAGTGTTGTATTAATTGAAATACATCCATTACAAATATTTCTTGGGGTCAATTGCTACAAGGTCCCTTAGAATCAACAGAGCCATTAATATTATTATACTAAAATGTCATGATCAAAAGAAAAAAGTTTTTAAACATTTTTTCTCCCAAATATGTTATTAGGACAGTTTGCTTTTTCATTATCTATTTCTCCATTTAAAGCTATGAACTGCTATATCTGTTATGATGACAAGGTCCAAGGAGTCCATAAGAAACAGATTGCAGGGCAGGATCCAAATGATTCCCATTTTTACCACTTTTTTTTTTACCTATAGTTCTCATCGCATTGATGAGAGGAATACACAAAGTCTATAGCAACAAATAAAACTAAATGTCTTTACAGTAAGTTCTAAAACAAAGAAGAGATATAACACAAGTATTGTATATAAGGATTTATAGGATTACTGACCACTGACATACTTCTTAGGTTCACTTTAGTAGTAGTAATTTTATTTTGTAAACTGTATGAGACTTCGTTAGGAAACATCCTGAGAAGGTATTTATGCAATACTTAAAAATGTCCACTAATAAAATGAGCAATTAGGATCACACCATTTTTATGTGCTTATTTTTAAGACATTGAACAGTTATTTATTCAGTCTCATTAGCCAAAATAAAACATGCAAGCTTTTTCATATTTTTTAAAAGTGTTACAATAATTATAAATATTCTACTTAGCAAATCACCTGGCTACCAAATTGGACTTGCAATTTTAAATGTTAGAATACATTTCTCTTTTAGCCCACCTAGTTGTAAATTTTTTGCCTTCTCTATAATGATAACTGCTCTGCAATTTTTCAAGAGAAAATATCATACATATTGACAATATATGAGAGTCTGGAAAACAAGAATGATTTTTCAACTGGAGTATTATTATTTTTTTAATGGAAGTTATCATAATTCAAATGTTACATTAGAGAACAAAATCCTGATATTATGACATAAATTACATATTTGGAAAATTCATGCATTGCTAACAGGCATGTCTTAAGCAATGACTTATGAAATAAGTTTATTTTGCTATTTAATTTTCCTCATTATTATTTTTAAAACTCTTTATTTGAAAGATGCCAAAATTTTCCTTAACTACCTCTAAAGATCCATGTGATTCCATAGGTATCTTCAAATTAATTTGATATTAAATAATATAATTCTTACTATTTAATTTTCTTCCTCAGGTATCTGGATTGCTAGAAAATTGGTTGGGCTTTAGCTAATACATTGCCAGNTCTTTGCAACCCCGTGGACTGTAGCTCACCAGGCTCTTCTGTCTGTGGGATTTCCCAGGCAAGAACACTGGAGTGGGTTGCCTTTTCCTTCTCCAAGGGATCTTCCTGACCCAAGGATCAAACCTGTGTCTCCTACATCGGCAGGTGAATTCTTTACCACTGAGCCACCAGGGAAGCCCCCAGATCAAAGTATAAGCATTGGTAAATCCTAGATCTTTTATTTTTTAAAAAATTTTTTTCTAGAGTCTCAATTTTTCTCAAGAAAAAATTTTTTCCATTCCAACATAATGCAATGGCCAAGGACCTTAGAAGGAAAATATTATTTTATAATGTTCAGTGTGCCGTGGTTAAGACATAGTGTAATCATACTGCCTATTTTCACGGTACTTTTTAGTACTCACAGTGTTATCTCATACATTATCTCATGTGACTGTAAGCAACAGTCCCATGAAGCAGGCCAAGCAGAGGCAGGATGACAGCAGTTGGTTATTTGGGAAAGCTCACAGGACTATTTTCTGATGGAGCCTACTGGAGTTCAGTTCTTCTGAGTCCGGTACTTCTTCCTTACTCCCTCCCTACCTGAACTACAACTCTCTTTTAAAAATTCTACAATATACACCAATATTTATCAGAAGTTAAATGCGAGTCTTTCTTCAGAAAATGCCTCTTTGGTAATTTGTGATCCATTTTAAGCTGAGTCCATTCAGAACTCTTTTATTGAAAGCTTTCTGTAAGGATTGGCACTGTGGGAGATATCAATGTGAGCTCACAAGAGACTTTTTAAGTTTAAAAATCAACTGGAAAAATTGCCAAAGGACCAAAAAGAAAAAAAAAGAAAATCCTAAAGGTGTAGGGCAGATTATAAAAATGTAAATTAAAAAAGTGGATTTCTAAGAAGGGGTTAATTATGACTAGGAAAAAGATGTAATCTAAATAAAGGGTGGAACCGAAAGAAAAAATAAAAGTAATTCTATCCCAATAAAAGAACTGCCCTATTACCTGGAAATTTTGAATTAATTGACAAGAAATAACTAGTTAGAATCCACGTCCATCAACTCTTCCTATAACTAAAAAGTATTTATGTTGGTAAAAATTTTTGAATTCTGTTCATCATATAAATTCAAATGCAAATAATAAACCAGCTGTTGCTGTTCAGTCACTCAGTTGTGTCCGACTCTTTGTGATCCCAGGGACAGCAGTACACCAGGCTTCCTTTCCTTCACTATCTCCTGGAGCCTGCTCAAAGTCACGTCCACTGAGTCAGTGATGACATCCAATCATCTAATCCTCTGTTGCCCTCTTCTCCTCCAGTAAGTCATAGCATCCAGAGAGTTTTTACAAAGTAAACATTATTATATGTTGTAAAAATTTATTACTATAACTATTCTACATATGAAAAATATATAACTATACTATAGGGTTTATTCTATATATATTTTAATTTGTTGAAAAGTAAAACAGCAAGATTGTTTTTGAGGAAACTTTTCTTGTCTGCTCTCCTTGTCAAAGTGGTTTCTGGAGGGAATATCTCAAAATTTCCAGAGTATTCTAACATTTAAAATTGTTAAGTGTCACTGAGCCTGCACACATTTTAAAACTCAATCCAAAGCAGTTTATATTCTGCAGCAAAAAGGAAGTAATATTTTCTTCTTGGACAAGGTACATAATTGTGAAGTGATTTGTTTTCTACATTGCATATTTTGAGAAGTAATCATATTCTGTTTCCAACTCCATATCTGTTGGAACAGTGTTCTTTATGTCTTTTATATAACAAAGCCCCTTCCCCATGCAAGTGCCTGATAGAAGCATGTTTAAAGCACACAGTATGATTTTTTTAAAATACAATCTATTTTGATATGTTGGACATAGTTATTTCAAATATGTAAATCTTTTAATTCCAGCACATACCACTTTACTTACCACTCTTAGGCAGGCTAGAAATACTTTATGATTCTTAATTCTGCAGTGTCTACTTTCCATTTATTTCTCTTTTTAATTCTGATTAAAATAGGACATCAAGACAGACTCTTCCTGTGCTTTTTCATTTGTCATAGTGCTTTGGCTTATAAAACAACTCAAGTTAACTACCTATTGAAGAGTTATTTTCTAAACATGAAACAACTGAAAATTTCATTAGAATCACCAATTGGTAGTTTGGTTGCTAAGTAGTGTCTAACTCTTTATGACCTCATGGACTGCAGTGTACCAGGCTTCCCTGTCCTTCAGCATCTCCTAGAGCTTGCTCAAACTCATGTCCAGTGAGTCAGTGATGCCAACCAACCGTCTCGTCTTCTGTCATCCCCTTGTCCTGCCTTCAATCTTTCCAGTATCAGGGTCTTTTCCAATGAGTCGGCTCTTTGCATCAAGTGGTAAAAGTATTGGAGCTTCAGCTTCAGCATCAGTCCTTCCAATGAATATTCAGGACTGATTTCCTTTATGATTGGTTGGTTCTCCTTGCAGTCCAAGGGACTCTGAAGACTCTTCAACACCACAGTTGGAAAGCATCAAAATTGGCATTCAGCCTTCTTATGATCCAACCCTCACATCACAGATGAGTACTCAGAAAACCATAGCTTTGGCTATACTGACCTTTGTCAGCAAAGTTATGTCTGAGCTTTTTAATACCCTGTCTAGGGTTGTCACAGCTTTTCTTCCAAGGAGCAAGCATCTTTTAATTTAATGGCCACAGTCACCATCTGCAGTGATTTTGGAGCCCAAGNGCGTGGTAGTTTGAACATTCTTTGCTGTTGCCTTTCTTTGGAATTGGAATGAAAACTGACCTTTTCCAGTCCTGTGACCAGTGCTGAGTTTTCCAGTTTTGCTGGTATATTGAATGCAGCACTTTCACAGCATCATCTTTTAGGATTTGAAATAGCTCAGTTAGAATTCCATCTTCTCCTCTAGCTTTGTTTGTAGTGATGTTTCTTAAGGCCCACTAGACTTCAGACTCCAGGATGTCTGGCACTAGGTAAGTGATCACACCATTGTGGTTATCTGGGTCATTAAGATCTTTTTTGCATAGTTCTTCTGTGTATTCTTGCTACCTCTTCTTAATATCTTCTGCTTCTGTTAGGTCCCTATTGTTTCTGTCCTTTATTGTGTCCATCTTTGCTTGAAATATTCCCTTGGTATCTCTAATTTTCTTGAAGAGATCTCTAGTCTTTCTCATTCTATTGTTTTCCTGTTTCTTTGCATTGTTCACTTAGGAAGATCTCTCCTTGCTATTCTTCTGAACTCTGCATTCAGATGAGTATATCTTTCCTTTTCTCCTTTGTCTTCACTTCTCAGCTATTTGTAAGGCCTCCTCAGACAACCAATTGTTAGTAAGTAGCTTTTTTCCCCCCAAATGGAAGAGACCAAGAAATGGTCTTGGATTTGAAGTGTATTTATGGGCAGTCAGGCATGAAGGTGGGATACCATACTCCATTTTTTAACTAGGGTGACAGCTGGTCCCCATGCTTAAAAAAATGTGTGCACTGGCAAGTACCTATATAAATACTTACCGAGTGATTTGGTTCGATGTGAAAAATTAGGAATCTACTCTTTATCCCTTAAGATGCATTTATGTTCATACATTATTAAATAAGCTTAATTATTACAGGGAGTACAAGTGGCCGTTACAAATTTATGTCCTTAAGTATAGTATTCTCAAGAGGAATAACTGTTTATACCTAGTAAACATCAACAGTATTAGAGGCCTGAAGCCTCTAGTGTCCCAGTAAGCAAGGGCAGCAAACACAGTGAAAAACTCAACTTTTCCTTCTTCTCCACAGGAATTTCAGCTCAAGATCTGTGAAATCTTCTGAAGAGAACATTGATATTTGGGTCAGGAGGCTTTTTAGTACCAATGAATTTTGAACTGATTTGTAAATCCCCTTTGCAAAATAAGGATCTATTATTTTGTAAGTCTGAGTAGAGACAATAGCTTTTTGTAATAGCATAAGAAGTATAAGTAGTAGCTGGGAGTCAATAAATTCTTAGAAATAAACTAATATATCTGTTAAGGGCTTTGCTGATGACATAGTTGGTAAAGAATCTGCCTGCATTGTTGGAGACATGGGTTTGATCCTCAGGTTGGGAAGATCTGCTGGAGAAGGAAATGGCAGCTCACTCCAGTAGTCTTGCCTGGAAAAGCCCATGGACAGAGGAGCCTGGTGGACTGCAGTCCATGGGGTTGCAGAGTTGGACACAACTGAGTAATTAAGCACAATCATATTTGTTTACATTTATACAAAATTACTTCTGATGTGCTGATCAAAACTGATCAAATGCTCAACTAGTAGAAAGCATATTTCAGCTAATTGTGGAGCCTATAAGTTGAAGTTAGAGTGTGAAGCAGAAATTTGGTAAGTACTCTTCTTGCTCAAAAAAAAAAAGCAAAAAACAAATAAAACGGTTAAGAGTATCCTGTGACACTGGGCACCTCCTTAAAAGGTGTTTGGACTTTAGTGCTGACCACCATCACACCCTGACTTTTTTTTAAGGCTCTTCTCCTTACTGTAGGACTGGGCAGTATTTTCACCAGTACATGAGAGTCACAGACATTTAAGAAATGCTTCATTAGTCATTTGGCAGTTCAGTATTGCCTTTAGGAAGGACAATTTCTGCTCTCTGAGTCTTCATCTATTTCTTCTTTTTTGTGGTGAGAAAAAGACATTCCTTCTTTGGATTTTGAGAGCTGTGGAATCTAGATTGCTTTAAACTCTAGACTGGAGTTTAGGAGATTTACTGAATGTCTATAAAATATGCAAATAATTTAAAATTTAATGGCTGCTGTGTCATTCTGGTTTTTCGTTAATCTGTTCTTAAAAGAGTTGCCTTGACAAAATAGATTAATTTATAAAAACAATTGAAGAGTTTCTTTCTTATTATAACAGCAATACAACTTTATCAGAGAAAATTTGAAAAGCATAAGAAATGATAAAAATGAAAATTTATATTTCCATTACTTGGGGATAACTACCTATGGCATTTAGGTATTGGTCATGTTTTCACAATCTACATAGGTTCCAGACAGAGTAGAATCTGGTTGACCCGAATGAAAGTTTCCCATATTGGAAGCACTTATGGAAGGCACACACCTATCAGAGCATGTACACCAGGCACCCGGGTGTCTTATGGGTCTTGGGTCTGTCTTACCCTGGGGTCCGTGGTTTCTCCTTTGATAGCTATTCTAGATTTACTGGCCCAGATTATTTGGTTCTATCTGGACTTGATTTATAGCTTGTTCAAGGATGAGGATATGGGCACAATGATATCAAACAGACATATATGTGGTGTGGGCCAATATGCCAGATGAGAAGCAATAGACCTGAATATCTGAGACCCAGAAGGTATTGATAAATGAACCACAAGGATCAAAAAACGTGGAGAAGAATGACCAAAAATCCAGGGAGAGGAAGGAACTAATAAAATAATAGGTACGTGGAGATCCATGAGTGCTGCCAGAGCAATAGAAGGTCATAAAACAGGGAAGCAGAGAGTGACTAGTCAACGTTAAAAAAGACTTCAGTAACTGCTACTCACAATGACAAAATCTGACATTCAAACCTCCAGCATTCCAGTTGCTGTGTTTCTCCTGATTGACAGTGTCGCTTCTATTCTCTTCTATGACTGAATTTTCCAAATGCATTGTCTTAAGACATCAACTTCATGTCTTATTAAAACTTAACCATGCCTTTCTTTTTCCTCTCTCTTGGTCTGCGCCCACGCCTCCCCTTTCAGGCTTGAACATTGTAACCAAGAAGTGGAGGTGTGGCACCTGCCAGGGCTGCATGCATGCTAGATCACTTCGGTCGTGTCTGACTCTTTGGGACCCTGTGGACCACAGCCCACCAGGCTCCTCTGTCCATGGGATGCTCCAGGCAAGAACACGGGAGTGGGTTGTGGTGGCCTCCTCTAGGGGGTCTTCCCAATGCAGGCAGGCGGGTCCTTTACCACTAGCACCACCTGGGAAGCCCAGTAGCGTGAACCTCAATCAGAAGAAAGCAAGAGTCAGGAGGGATCCTGCTGTGGATCTTTCTGGAGAAGAAATTCCACATGCACATGCCAAGTAGACCTATAATGCCTGCTGACTGGGCTGCCGTGCCCCTCCCAGACTCATCTGGACAGAGCAGCCAGCACGGCATCCCACAGCTTTGCAGCCACCCTTGCCTGTCTTCCCCTTCCCCTTACTGGTCCTCCCCTGGGCTTGAACTCTCAAATACAATCAGAACTTTAATCCTTGCCTCAGGCTCTGTTTTCTAGAGCAGTGATTCTCAAATTTTAATGTGGATACAAATCACTTGGGGATTTTGTAAAATAAAATACAGATTCCGTGTTAGGAGATTTGGGGTGTAGACTGAGAAGCTGCGTTTCTCAGCACTTCTCAAGTGACACCCGCACTGTTGGTCCTTTACACAGCAAGGTTCTAGAAGACATAGGGTAAAACCAAACTCATCACAACTATAAAGGACACTCCTTGATGGTCAAAGCTGTGTCTCTCTGTCTCTTTCTTTTCATTGTTTTATCCCCTGAACCTACGACAATGTCTGGGCTATAGGAAGTGCTCAATAGGTATCTATTGACTGAGTAATAAATGAATGAATTCTCCCAGGTGACTTTAGTAATTCCCAATTATGGTAAAAATGTCTAGTTTTGACATGCAAAGTTCTAGGGTAGATTACATTGTCTGGCAGTGGTTTTCTGTATTTCTGGTTACTGACAAATGAATTTTTACATACCCTGGAATGCAGGTAATAGTGTTAGGAGATGGGGCCTTTGGGAGGTGAATAGGCCATGAGGGTAAAGCCCTCATGAATGGGATTAGTACCCTTATCAAAGGGATCCCAGAGACATCCCTTGCTCCTGCAGCCATGTGAGATTATAGCAAAAAGACAGCCACTTAGGACACAGCTCTCACCAGACACCAAATCTGCAAGCACCTTGATCCTGAACTTCCTGGCTTCTAGAACTGTTAGAAATAAATTTGTCTTATTGCTAAAAGTGACACAGTGTTCTGCGGTATTCTAACAGCTCAAATGGACCAAGGCAATGTTGGATGCCAAATACAGATATACACTTATACTGCTCCAGCATCAAGGAGTTAAAGCTAAAAGCCATGAAATCTAAGCGGTACATGTCAGAAACTGGTTGCTGATTTGGAAGCCTGGATGGACAGTACTGAGGTATCCAGTTCAGGAAAGCTTCTCTTGGGTTCCCAGAGGCCAGCCTTCCTTTTAAAGCTTGATTGTCTTCTGTCAGGCGCTAGAGTGCAAAGAGAAGTGTGCTTAAGATCCATTATATTGGTTGCTTCTCGTGTTTACTCACCCAGCACTTCACTTTTCATACAATGCCTTCTATTAGAGAGGGTAAATGGCAGTTTTCCACCAAATTTTAAAATGGTGCTTCATGTATAATTCATAAAAACTTCCAGTAGCATCAACATCCTCCTCTGGTCTTTGTCCTACTTAAGAAATGTCTGACATTAGCCTTCAGTGATAGGTGTGATGATGCCTATTATTGGATGTAACTGTCCTTGTCTGACTATCCCTTCTGTGGCTACCAACGGTCATTTAGACATTTAAGATTTTTTAGCTGACAACCTCAGCAATTATTATTTTCATGTTACACTTTTACTGTTGTCATAGAGGCACAGAAACCGCTGAATAGTTTTCATATATGAAATTCCTGATGAAGGGGTGATACTAAGCAGGCTACTATATGTCACTGAATTTGTTTCTAAACCGGCAAAGTTAGATTCTTGCCCTTGAATTTTAAGGAATTTCCAGAGACCATGGGAGTTTATTTTTTAACCAGGAACTCGTGTTTGGAAGTACTCTCTATTACAGTAGTTCTCAAAGTGTGGTCCTGAACCAGTGGCATTTGCATCATGCTTGAATTTGTTAGAACATTTTGGAGCCCGGTAATGTTTCACCAGCCCAGTCAGCTGGCAAAACATTATTTTGAGGTGTATCTGTGAGGGTGTTTCTACAAGAGATTAGCATTTGAATCAGCTGACTGAGTAAAGAAAATCTGCCTTCATCAATATGGGCAGGCATCATCCAATCTGTTGAGAGCCTACACAGAACAAAAGCTGGAGGGAGAATTCTTTCTCTCTTCCGGAGCTGGGACATTCATCCTCTCCTAGTCTTGGACACTAGAGCTCCTGCTTCTCAGGTTTTCAGACTTGGACCGAATTATATCACCAGCTGTCCTAGTTTTCCAGCTTGAAGATGGCAGATTGTGGGATTTCTTAGTCTCCATAACTCTGTGAGCCAATTCCTATAATAAATCTCCTCAAATAGATCCATATATATCCTATTGGTTCTATTTGTTTTTGGAGATCCCTGACTAATAGAAGCCCCATCTCAGGCCCATTACATCAGAAACTCTGTGTTTTAACAAATACTTCAGGTGTTTACAATGCATGCTGAGGTTTGAGAACCATTTCTCTACTAGCTATCTTCCTGTCTCTAAAAGATAGTTTTGATGAGAAATACAAAAGTACTCAAGAATTCAGAGGTAAACAGAATAAGTGATGTTCTACTTAGGGATATTTTAAAAATCGATGGTATAGAATAGTATTTTTAGAAGTGAGATTATACTATATACAGTACCATGGGAGAGGATTTATTAAAAATACACAAGTCTTAACCCTCCCCAGATCTAATGAATCAGAGTGTCTGGGTCAGAGCTCACTGCCTTTTATAGGGCCTGCCAGATAGTTCATTGGCACCAGGTATGATAAACACAAGAATCAAGTGTAGCTCATGCTAACATCAGTAATCTCTAAGTGATGGGACCAAAACTAATATATATTTTCAAATACTTTTTAAAGGTTTTGAGTTGGATGCAATGATTATATTTTACTTTTATAATCATAAAATTGCAAGACAATTATTTAAAAAGGATGGAAGCAAACAGAATAGCACTGAGTCATCTTGAAGACCCAAGAACTTGGGGAATGTATCCATTTTCCTTGTATTACATACATCTGAGTAGTGAAGAGCTCAGATTCTGAATTAGAACTTTCTGAGTTCACATCCAAGAGGCTTACTTATTAGCTGTGCAACTTTGGCCCAAAGCCTTAGCTTCCTCATCTCTTGTGATGAGATAGTAATAGCAGTGTCTCTTTCCTAGGATTGCTGTGAAAATCAAATGAGAATACTTAGTACAGTGCTTAGCACATAATGAAAACTCCAAACGTTAGCTATTAGTAATGCAAGGATGTCTATGTTTCATAATTATTCTTAGCTCTATTTTCTCTAAGAGTCACATGTTAATCAATCAATCAATTAATCCATTTTTATTATAATGCTTAAATTAAAAAACTGACCATGACTCCAAGTGGAAGATGTCCCTCTTCATGGATAGTAACTCTTCTGCCTCATCCTGGACTCCCCTCCTCTCATCTGACTCTTGTCCATTGCCATGACTCTCATCTCTCACGCTCCATCCTCTTGACAAAAAGCTGTATCTTAGCTCCTCTCCCATCCAGTGCCAAACATCTTCATGTTTCTATTTTTCCCTTTTCAGCACATTATCCGTTACCCTTACCGTCAAATTTATTTGACCCCTAAAGGTTGTAATTGTCAGTTATCTCCATGCATTTAATAAATGTTTACTAAATTTTATTAAAGTTCAGCATCACTAGCTATTTTTTTTTTTCATTCTGGACATAACAGTTTGGGTTTCTGAAACTCTATCAAATAGAACATTTCTGAGCCTTGGATTAAGAATTGATTTTTTAAAAATTATTCCTGAGTTTGTACGTCCAGGGCAGGGGCTGATGTGGTGCAGCCCAGCTGGGCGCTCCTGAGGCTGCTTTTCTGTAGAGCCAAAGCGACACTTCTCTTTTTCAAACAGAGATCTGTATGTGTCAAAGGCTTAGCCCCTGACTGGGACATTTTCTCCCAGAGTTAATCAGAGAATTGTAAATCATTGAGAAAAGGGGTTTAGGAGAGAAATTTACCAACCTTCTACTTTCTTGAGTTCTTTTCATATTCAAAACAAATACTTTAAGGCAATAGTTTTCAAACTTTGGAGACTCACATGGAGGGTTGCTATATATTAAATGCTGTGTCCTCCTTTTCCCCAAATTCATATTTTGAAATCTTAGCCTCTAAGGTGAGGGTGTTAGGAGGTGGGGCCTTTGGGTGGTTAGGTCATGAAGACAGAGCCCTCCTGACTGTGATTAGTGCCCTTATAAGAGAGACCCCCATTCCCAAAGCTCCCCAGTCCTTTCTGCCTTGTGAGGCTACAGTCTGTGAGGAAGTGAACCCTCACCAGGCACTGAATCTACCAGTGATCTTGGACTTCGCAGCCTCCAGAATTGTGAGAAATAAATTCCTCTTCTTTAAAAGCCACCTAGCTATTTGTACTTTTGTTATAGTGGACCAAATGGACTAAGACAAGGAGTTAATAAAACATTTTTCTGTTTCTCTTTTTCTTTTCTTCCTCCTGTTATGTATGTTAGTCACTTGGTCATGTCTGACCCCTTATGACCTCATGGGCTATAGCCCGCCAGGCTCCTCTGTCCATGGGATTCTCCAGGCAAGAATACTAGAGTAGGTTGCCATTCCCTTCTCCAGAGGATCTTCCTGATCCAAGGATCAAACCCAGGTCTCCTGCATTGCAGGCAAATTCTTTATTGTCTGGGACCAGGGATAGCCACCCCTATCTCTTCCTCTTGCTTACTGAATATTCCTCAGATTTAGCCACTCCAACCTGCAAAAGTGAACAGTCCTATCGATGCTCAGTAAATTCCAGAGAACCTTATCAAAGAAGAATCATAGAAATTTTTAATCTTTGCCTTAGAAAGCTGATACCAGTTTCAGTAAGTGTAAAGGTTAGTCACGCAGTTGAGTCCATGCATGCCAT